AAAAAAAAAAAAAAAAAAGAAATACCCAGGTTCATTTGATCTCTGCAACAACCCCCAAGAGGTAGGCAGAGTGGATTTTAGATGGCAGTACCAGGAGAGAGTTTAGCCTACTTCCCTATAGACCTTGGCATTGGGAGTACCTGCAGGAAAGAAAAGCCAGGCTCAGAGAAGCCCAGTAACTGACTCACCTAAAAAGGCAGATCTGGAATTGGACGTCAGGGCTGTCCAGTTCTCAGCTGGGTACTCTTCCTTGGCTAGGCACATAGGTTTTCCTTGTGGCCAGACCTGTCTTTATCACCATGATTCCTTTGCAGCCAGGGTTCAAAGGAGTGGTGGTTTTCCCCTCCCTTCGGAGGTCCAGAGTCTATTTGCAATTAGGTGTGTCATAACCCACAATTTCTAGACCCCAAGATAGTGTGGGACTTGGCATTGGCATGTGGGCTCTTCCTGTTCCACTCACATTCACACCCACTCTGCACTGCTTCTCCCCACCTGTGTCCTCCCTTTCTGTGCTGTGTGTGTGATAGAAGGGCGTGTGTGCATTCTGTGTTTGCATGTGGAGGGTGTATTGTGTGTATATGGGTGTATACAGATTCTGCAAAGTGTGTGAAGGGGTTTGCCCACTTGCTGAAAATTTCCGAGGTTTAGGGCAGGAGGGGGTTAGGGTAGAGCTGGATGGAACAGAACACCTCAACTCCTACTCCACTGCCATTGCCATGGAGTTCTAGGCAGCCAGATAGCGGCATTTTTAGGATATCCTGAACACAGAAAGGGAATAAACCAGATACATAGGTGGCAGGTACTGTGGGGGGGAGGGGGCTGTAGGCTGGAGACGGGGACTCTTGTCTAGCTTTGCTGTGGGGCCGGTCTCCAGGGCTCCTGTTGCTAGGCCCTGGGCTCCCCCTGGCTGGCCACCTCCCTAGCTACTTCCCTGGCTTTCCACCTGGGTGGAGCCAGGCTTCCAGATAGCCCAGGCACTCCCCTGCCACCACTTGTCCTGGGCAGGGCCTGGGGCCAGGGTTCTGTACAACCGTCATAGGAGAGAACTTCACTCTTCAGTGATAAATCTAACAGCAACATTATCCAGAGCAGTTGCTCTCTGATTATTTTGGCAGTGACTCGCAATAAGAAACTCATTTTTATCATGACCTACAAATATACATATATAAAACTAAAAGAAAATCTCATAAAACAAGGCCTGGTATGGTGGCTCATGCCTGTAATCCTAGCACTCTGGGAGGCCGAGGTGGGTGGATTGCTTGAGCTCAGGAGTTCAAGACCAGCCTGAGAAAGAGAAAGGTCCTGTCTCCACTAAAAATAAAAAAAACTAGACCAGGGTGGTGCCTGTGGCTCAAAGGAGTAGGGCGCCAGCTCCATATGCTGGAGGTGGCAGGTTTAAACCCAGCCCTGGCCCAAAACTACAAAATAAATAAATAAATAAAAATAACTAGACTAGCATTGTGGTGGGCACCTGTAGTCCCAGCTACTTGGGAGGCTGCAGGAGGAGGATTGCTTGAGCCCAAGAGTTTGAGGTTGCTGTGAGCTATGATAACACCAGGGCACTCTACCCAGGGTGACAAAGTGAGACTGTCTCA